AATCACAAGAGATGATCAAAGATATTTTTTTAGATTAATAGATATTTTTATTTATTAATCCGACAGATTTTAACACTTTAGAAATTATTTTCAGTGGCTCCCCATATTTGAATAGACGTTCTGTTTGTTTATTAAACAGTATATTTATTCATTTTTCCTCTACAGGCCTGAATATTCGAAAAACCTTAATAAAGTAAAAATGTCTCACCGGCAGGATTTGAATCTGCGTCAGTCTGAGCAAAGTGAACCGCCAATAGATCGACATGCTTTAATCGACTCATCCAGAGAGAACCTATGCGAAATTTCAAATCTGCTCAGCTTCGTATCCAAACGTAAACAAAGCTATTTCAAACGTGTAATGTAATTTGTATTTAAAAACACGGCAGATTTAATCACTTTAAATGTTACTTTTGATGGATAATCATATTTGAGTAGACGCTCCGTTTATTTATTATAAAAAGCAATTTAGAATATGGTTCGAATATACTGTTTAATAAATAAACATCTATTCAAATATGAGTATCCCCTAAAAATAACGTTTAAAGTGATAAAATCTGTCGGATTAATAAATTAAAACATCCAGTTTAAAGCAACTGTCCATCATTTGACGCCAGAAAATTATTCACCATCTTACACGTCAACGATGTCAGGCGTGATAGTAAAAAAAAAAAAACATCTATCACTCCCACCCACAATAATAAACCCAACAATCCTTAAAAATAATAATATTAACGGGTAACACAGAAGTTCCTTTCTACGTTCATAGATGAAATATTGATACACAAATCAACATCGTCGCCATTGACTCACCTATCAATCTGACAATGCCCCATATGTCAGCCCGAGAAAATGAAATTAAACAAAAACAAAAACAAAACTACACATAAGCCCCAAAACTAAACCCACTATGTTGCATATATATATATATATATATATATATATATATATATATGTGTGTGTGTGTGTGTGTGTGTGTGTGTGTGTGTGTGTGTGTGTGTGATGTGTGTGTTTGGGATTGTGTGTGTATGTAAATATATCATCCATGAAAGAATTTAAGACAGGAAGATTAAGTACCTGACACATTAAAATATATGGATAGATATGAGTTGACTGACTAGTCAAGAAAGAAAGATCGCTTATATCTAAACACATGCATACATACACACATACACACACACACACACACACACATATATATATATATATATATATATATATATATATATATATATATAGAGAGAGAGAGAGAGAGAGAGATATTATTAGTGGAAAATATACATACATATGCAAAATATATAAATATAAATACCCATATATGTATATTTTTAGAAAAAATTTCAAGAGGAAGAATCCAGGTAGAACTCAATGTTTAGGGACAGATAAGGATATAATAAAAAGGCTTAAACACTAATATTCCATGGTCATGATTTATTCCATTGGAATCGTAAATACGATCCAATTCATCAGTATATATATATATATATATATATATATATATATATATATATCCTGGATAAAATAGAACAGCAGCTACATTTTTTCTCTGTGTGACATTATGCACATAATACAATAAAATTATGAAAGTAACTAAAAAAAAAAAAATGCAAAATATGTTTTTTTTTTATATATTTGGTGGGCATAATACGACCCTGCCTTTAAATCTCCGTATGTCAGCTACACATAGTAATGGTGTAGTCCACGTGCTGCATATACCCATTTACGCGCTATTAAGGCAGGACAAAATCTGCCTTCAACTCTTTGGCATCTTCCATTGAGTGAGGGAGGTTGCGCGCCGGTCTTTCACTTATTTTTTGTGTGTGTTTTCTTCTGTTTTAGTTCACTTGCATTCAAAAACTTAAAGTTCATTTCAGCAGTTCACGGAAATAAATTTCAAAATCTTGCTTCCCAAGTTGATAAGGACGCATTTGAATGTTTAGAAAAGAACAACGGAAAGTTTTTCGACGTCATAAGACTGAAAGCGGATTTATCTGGAATTTACAATGCACAAGTGTTCCGAAATAAATCTGTTAAGTTCTCCTTTATTTCATATTTTAAAATGAACTGACCCAAACTTCCCTAAGCTGTGAAGTTGCTGTAATTAATTTGGACAATTGCTGCTACATCCGTTTCTGTGGAAAGGGATTTTTCTGCTTTGAAAAAAAGAATTCAGAGTCGCACCACGAACAGAATGACAAATCAAAGTCTTTCATTGTTTGCTTCTTAGTGGCTTTACCACCTTGCTTTAATGCTAACTCGATTAATATACATACATACATATATATATATATATATATATGTGTGTGTATATATGTGTGTGTGTGTGTATATATATATATATATATATATATATTATAACAAAACAAAATCCAATATTACCTCATATGAGTATAGATATATTTCAGCCAACGTGAAGTACCCCGGTCTTATTCAACCCCGGCAGATGGACAGTGTTCGTGTCGGAATTAGAGATTTAAAATATAACTATGATAGCAGTCGAAAAATTGATACAGAAACTACCCTTATGGACGCCTCAGTCAGACGAATTGCCCAAATCGATGGTAAGGGGTGGGCAGAAATATATCAGTCTTAAAGGGAAGATGCTCCACAAATTCAACCCGCATATTAACTTTATGGCCCTAAATTGGTGTTCTAAAAAGAATGAAGTGTTGAATTGAAACTAAAGTAGGGTCACAAAGGGAGTTGTATATATAAAAAATTCAATTATATATATAAAAAAAGTTAGGTTCCCACTTCAAAAATACCAATTCTACCTACAAATGAAATATATTAACAAGATCAAAAGCCAATCATATTTAGATCATTTCTATTAAGTAAGAATATATTTATTAGGTTGGTGCAAAAATAATGACGTAATAATGTCGTTTTTTGACGTAATTTTAACGTGAAAAAACGACATTCTTACGTCATTATTTTTGCACCAACCTAATAAAAAAAAACTATATTAAAATAAATTATTCATTTCTAACTTTAAAGTTAAAATTATGCAATGCGATAGATCCTAATCTAGCATCTCGTCTACAGTCGCTTTCACACAGACGTGCTGTGGCTACCCTCTGTCTCTTCTACAAGTATTTTCAGGCAACTGTTACTGCTTTCCAGACTGCATGAATTTAAGCGAGCTACTAGGCTGGCATCTCGGTCCCACCCTTTCACCGTCGAAACAGTTAAATGTAACCGTCTCTTCTACTCCAACAGCTTCTTCTCTCTCACTTCCCGTCTGTAGAACTTACTTCCTCTTGCTTGCTACACTGATAACTATAATCTTCAAATACACAAGTGTAATGTCAATCGACGTCTTCTCATACCTTGATCTTGTTCCCCGCCCTTGTCTCTATCCTTTCCCCAAACACGCCTCTTTACTCTTGTTCTCAATCCTCTGTAACCGCTTGTGTGCCTGCTAGTGGCACTCCCGCCTTGCCCGGGGTGAATTGCTTAAAAAAGTATTATTATATATATATATATATATATGAATGAAGAAATATAGTCCTAAGATGTGCTATATTTATGGGATAAAGTGCTCAATATCAGAGATAGAGCATGTGCTAATATAAAAGTGAACATAGAAGTCAACACTTAGGCGACAGTCTGTTTTTCATGTTAGATGCAATCGTCAGGCCACAAAGTGCACTCGTGGTCTGACGATTGCATCTAAAATGAAAACAGACTGTCGCCTCTAAGTGCTGACTTTTAAGTTCACTTTTATATATATATATATATATATATATATATATATATATATATATATAGAGAGAGAGAGAGAGAGAGAGAGAGACAGAGAGGGAGAGAAGGGTCTCGATGAATATGTTTTTTTTCGAAACAACAACGCGCACTAACATACCTCCGGACCTCATTATTGTTCGTTTGATGCCCCCCACCACCACCACCAACTAAATTACTTTCTATTAATCGCCTCAGAGATCTCTTTCTACTATTCGTCTGCATGACTAATGCAAACCACCAGATGAGTGACTTATTGTGCGTTAACTGGCTAATGCTTTCCGCTTACATGAAATGGAAAGATTATATCGAAACAACTGCTAAGGTCTGCTGCTCGGTTCACTGTGTTGTGCCAGACAATTTTACTTACCCGAATCTATCTTAAATCTACATAAGCCTACCATTCATCCATACTTTGAATATTGCTACAACATATGGTCTGGTGTTCCTGCTATGGACACAGAGTCAATTCACCCTCATTCCCTTCGTATTCCTTTGGTAAAGAGGAAGTTCCACTCAGACACCTGCGTTCCCCAGAATTATTAAATTGTGGGTTTTTTCCTCTATTACTACTACGCTAACCACTTGAAGTCTAATGTCACCTGTAATCTATCCTCCATATCCATATTAAATACACTACTTACCTTCTCTTATATAACTAATACGACTGAAATTGGAATTTAGCTGTCTGATTTCCATTTTCGTATTTAATAATTTCACTCCAAGCAAGGCAATAAAGCCACTAAGACGCAGGGGTGTTAAAGAGCCCTAAAGTATATGAAAAAAAGGTACAATTAAATAAAAATAATAATAAAAGAACAGGACTTAATAATGCAAAAGATAACAACTGACATTGTATTTAATTTTTTGAATATCAAAGGTGACAGGGAAGCAAGAAACTGGAAAATGGTCCCACAAGTGAGAAGTGCGATAGAAGAAACAGTTACCATAGAACTAACGGTTATATCTATCCATTTCAACTGGAAAATGATGAGACCTAGCCACCAATCTAGTACTGCGCTTAAATCTTAAGTCTAGGTACTATAGAGGAAAGTTAATCAAAACAAATATTAATTCCGGACCGCTATCCACTGCACCATCAGGATATCAAAGGTTACAGCACCTCAACGGTCACCCATCTAGGTAAGGACCAGGCTTGACGTTGCTTAACTTCTCTGATCGTAAAAGAACCCATGTTTCAAATAGCCTAAATTCTTACAGTTCTAGAAATAATATAGTGTGAATTAAAGAATCGAAAACCTCTACAAACTCTCTGTTGACGGCATCGAGAATAGAAAGGAGAATAGAAAGGAAAATAGAAAGGAAAATAGAAAAGAAAATATAAAGGAAAATAGAAAGGAAAATAGAAAGGAGAATAGAAAGGAGAATAGAAAGGAAAATAGAAAGGAAAATAGAAAGGAGAATAGAAAGGAAAATAGAAAGGAAAAAATAGAAAGGAGAATAGAAAGGAGAATAGAAAAGGAAAATAGAAAGGAGAATAGAAAAAGGAGAATAGAAGGAAATAGAAAATAGAAAGGAGAATAGAAAGGAGAATAGAAAGGAAAATAGAAATGAGAATAGAAAGGAAAAGGAGAATAGAATAGGGAGGAAAATAGAAAGGAGAATAGAAAGGAGAATAGAAAAATAGAGGAGAATAGAAAGGAAAATAGAAAGGAGAATAGAAAGGAAAAATAGAAAAGGAAAATAGAAAGGAAAATAGAAAGGAGAATAGAAAGGAGAATAGAAAGGAAAATAGAAAGGAAAATAGAAAGGAGAATAGAAAAGAATAGAAAATAGAAAGGAAAATAGAAAGGAGAACAGAAAGAATAGAAAGGAAAAAATAGAAGGGAGAAATAGAAAGGAGAAAGGGAAAATAGAAAGGAGAATAGAAAGGAGAATAGAAAGGAAAGGAAAAATAGAAAGGAGAATAGAAAGGAAAATAGAAAGGAGAAAAAGGAGAATAGAAAGGAAAATAGAAAGGAAAATAGAAAGGAAAAATAGAAAAGGAGAAATAGAAAGGAGAATAGAAAGGAAAATAGAAAGGAGAATAGAAAGGAGAATAGAAAGGAAAATAGAAAGGAAAAAGGAGAATAGAATAAAGAAAGGAAAATAGAAAGGAAAATAGAAAGGAGAATAGAAAGGAGAATAGAAAGGAGAATAGGAAAATAGAAAGGAGAATAGAAAGGAGAATAGAAAGGAGAATAGAAAAGGAAAAAAGAGAAAGGAAAGGAGAATAGAAAAGGAAAATAGAAAGGAGAATAGGAAAATAGAAAAGGAAATAGAAAAAAATAGAATAGGAAAGAAAGAGATAGAAAAGGAGAATAAAGAAAGGAAATAGAAAGGAGAATAAAGGAAAATAAAGAAATGAGAAAAATAGAAAGGAAAATAGAAAGGAGAATAGAAAGGAAAATAGAAAGGAGAATAGAAAGGAAAATAGAAAGGAGAATAGAAAGGAGGAAAATAGAAAGGAGAATAGAAAGGAGAATAGAAAAGGAAATAGAAAAGGAGAATAGAAAAGGAAAATAGAAAGGAGAAATAGAAAGGAGAATAGAAAGGAAAAAAGGAATAGAAAGGAGAATAGAAAGAAAATAGAATAGAAAGGAAAATAGAAAGGGAGAATAGAAAGGAGAATAGAAAGGAAAATAGAAAGGAGAATAGAAAGGAGAATAGAAAGGAAATAGAAAGGGAGAAAAAATAGAAAGGAGGGAATAGAAAGAGAAAAAAGGGAAAAAAGGAGAAAATAGAAAAAGAATAGAAAGGAAAATAGAAAGGAGAATAGAAAGGAGAATAGAAAAAAGGAAAATAGAAAGGAGAATAGAAAGAAGAATAAAAGGAGAATAGAAAGGAAAAATAGAAAAAAGAATAGAAAGGAAAATATAAAAGGAGAAATAGAAAGGAGAATAGAAAGGAAAATAGAAAGGAGAATAGAAAGGAGAATAGAAAGGAAAAGGAAAATAGAAAAATAGGAAAATAGAAAGGAGAATAAAATAGAAAGGAAAAATAGAAAGGAAAATAGAAAGGAAATAAAAAAAGGAGAATAGTGTTGAAAAGGAGAATAGAAAAGGAGAATAGAAAAGGAGAATAGAAAGGAAAATAGAAAGGAGAATAGAAAAAATAGAAAATAAAACGCAAAAATAATCGAGAATAGAAAGGAGAATAGAAAGGAAAATAGAAAGGAGAATAGAAAAGGAAAATAGAAAGGAAAAATAGGAAAAGGAGAATAGAAAAGAAAATAGAAAGGAAAATAGAAAAAATAGGAGAATAGAAAGGAGAATAGAAAGGAGAATAGAAAGGAAAATAGGAAAGGAGAATAGAAAGGAGAATAGAAAGAAAATAGAAAGGAGAATAGAAAAGGAGAATAGAAGGAGAATAGAAAGGAAAATAGAAAGGAGAATAGAAAGAAAATAGAAAGGAGAATAGAAAGGAGAATAGAAAGGAGAAAATAGAAAAGGAAAATAGAAAGGAAAATAGAAAAGAAATAGAAAGGAAAATAGAAAGGAAAAATAGGAAATAGAAAGGAAAATAGAAAGGAAAATAGAAAGGAGAATAGAAAGGAGAATAGAAAGGAGAATATAAAGGAGAAAAGAAAAGGAGAATAGAAAGGAAATAGAAAGAAAGGAGAATAGAAAGGAGAAAGAAAGAAAGGAAAATAGAAAAGGAAAATAGAAAGGAAAAAATAGAAAGGAGAATAGAAAGGAGAATAGAAAGGAGAATAGAAAGGGAAAAATAGAAAGGAGAATAGAAAGGAGAATAGAAAGGAAAATAAAAGAAAGGAAATAGGAGAATAGAAAAGGAGAATAGAAAGGAGAATAGAAAGGAAAATAGAAAGGAGAATAGGAAAGGAGAATAGAAAGGAGGGAAATAGAAAGGAGAATATGAACGAAAATAGAAAAAGGAGAATAGAAAGGAAAATAGAAAGGAGAAAGAAAATAGAAAGGAAAAATAGAAAGGAAAATAGAAAATAGAGAATAGAAAGGAGAATAGAAAGGAAAATAGAAAGGAGAATAGAAAGGAAAATAGAAAGGAGAATAGAAAGGAAAAAAATAGAAAGGAAAATAGAAAGGAGAATAGAAAGGAGAATAGAAAGGAGAATAGAAAATGAGAAAATAGAAAATAGGAGAATAGAATAGGGAGAATAGAAACGAAAATAGAAAGGAGAAATAGAAAGGAAAATAGAAAGGAGAATAGAAAAAAATAGGAGAATAGAAAGGAGAATAGAAAGGAAAATAGAAAGGAGAATAGAAAGGAAAGAAAGAGAATAGAAAGGAAAATAGAAAGGAGAATAGAAAGAAATAGGAGAATAGAAAGGAGAATAAAAGAATAAATGAATAGAAAAGGAGAATAGAAAGGAGAATAGAAAGGAGAATAGAAAGGAAAATAGAAAGGAGAATAGAAAGGAGAATAGAAAGGAGAATAGAAAGGAAAATAGAAAGGAGAATAGAAAGGAGAATAGAAAGGAAAATAGAAAGGAGAATAGAAAGGAGAATAGAAAGGAGAATAGAAAGGAGAATAGAAAGGAAAATAGAAAGGAGAATAGAAAGGAGAATAGAAAGGAAAATAGAAAGGAGAATAGAAAGGAGAATAGAAAGGAAAATAGAAAGGAGAATAGAAAGGAAAATAAAAGGAAATAGAAAGGAGAATAGAAAGGAGAATAGAAAAGGAAATAGAAAGGAAAATAGAAAGGAGAATAGAAAGAAATAGAAAGGAAAATAGAAAGGAGAATAGAAAGGAAAAAGGAAAATAGAAAGGAGAATAGAAAGGAGAAAGGAAAATAGAAAATAGAAAGGAGAATAGAAAGGAGAATAGAAAGGAAAATAGAAAGGAGAATAGAAAGGAGAATAGAAAGGAAAATAGAAAGGAAAATAGAAAGGAGAATAGAAAGGAGAATAGAAAGGAAAATAGAAAGGAAAATAGAAAGGAAAATAGAAAGGAGAATAGAAAGGAAAATAGAAAGGAGAATAGAAAGGAGAATAGAAAGGAGAATAGAAAGGAGAATAGAAAGGAAAATAGAAAGGAGAATAGAAAGGAAAATAGAAACCTTTCATTTGTTTGTTTAACATCATATAAACATCTCATAGGCCATTTAATGTTGAAATTTAATATTCTTAGGGGCTTTGAAGTATTAAAAATATGATGTATGTTATTCTGCTTTCACAGTTGAATACATGGTAGATGACACTACATCTTTTTTGAAGACATGTTTATGTAGACATAATTACTAGAGGCGGTGGTATGGGTATTTTATGTTATAGTTGTTTTTAATTCATATTTTGGAATATAGTTTGATTTCTTTAAGAATTTGTAGCATATTATATGGATTAATATCATGAAAGCCTTATTTCATGTTGATTATTTGGATGATTTGTTTGGCGACATATCAACACTTCTATGGATTAGTTAATGCTGAGATCGAAATATCTTGAACATAATTTTATGCTTTCAACTACAGATATTTTGTACATAATTTCATATTTTCAGAATAAAGTTATGTTTTTAGATAAATATTTTGTAGATCATAAAATATATCATTGCTAATTTTACTATAAAAATGTATTTTATTGTTGCATTGTCAAAAATGTAATGTTACTCATTTTATTATAATTGATTTTTATTTGGGGGTTTACTATTTGCCCATAGCTGGGACCCTAACAATTGCTACCGCCCCGGGCCATGGCGGACCTTGGAACAACAGCAGTTAAGTGGTGTTTCTACATTTGTTAAACCTCCAATCTCCCGATTAGAGTCTTTGCTGAAGGATGTTGTTTATCGTCATACCCAGGAGAAAATTACAAAAGATTTGCGGCTGATTGATTGACAGATTACTTTTAATTTTTTTACGGTTTATCGACCCATATTTCGGCTCGTAGGAGCACGCTTACTGTACTCAGTGTTTCTAAGCATTCCCCACCCCCGTGAAAATTTGCTGGAACTTGCTGCCACTTAATCCTTCTGACACCCCGAAGACACTTGCTGCATAAATGCATAACAATACAAAGAAATGAACAAAACGAATCATTTGATAATGATGGCTAATATTAGATACATCGAGGCGACATCACAGATGTTCTCTTTGTACTTAATCTCAAACCGTGTGAGACCAACACGCTATTTTGTTAAATCTGTTCGTGCCTATTATAGAGGTTTTTGAGAAAGGAATGATTACAGGCTACGTGTTAGCCGAGGCCAAATATAACCCTCTTCAGAAAAAGAACAATTGGCTGCATTCCGCGCTTACAAAGCTTGTAATCCGCATTGTTTGCACATCAAACGTTTCGAAAGTATCCTTGTCTTTATTCTGCGGAATTTATTTTACAATTTGTTCCTCATACTAATGCCATCTGTTTGATGGACGGACAGTGCGCCTGACTCAGCATCATGTTAAATAAACAACGGTTAGAATAGACTACTTCATCATTTTCGAACAAGAATATACGGCAATGAATTTAATAAGGACCAACCGAATATAACTTTTGCTTCGGAAATGTATTAAGTAAACACGTGGTATTTCATAAAACTAGCATCTTGCCGAATTTAATCATGGATATAACATATAAAGCAGTTACGAATGTTCATTGATTTTTATTAAATGCCCAACTTGTTTTCCTGACAAATAAAAGAAAATGAGGTTGGCATTTTTGAACATAAACTCTACAGGATTATATATATATATATATATATATATATATATATATATATATATTTATATATTTATATATATATATATATATATAATATATATATATATATATATATATATATATATATGTATGTATGTATTATTACTTAAACTTTACTTTTAGTGGACACACGTATTTGAGTAGACACTCTATTTATTATCTATGTTTAGATGCACTCTTCAAATTTTCTTAGTCATTGACGCCCTTTGCAGATGAGGAGTCAAAGCATGTCAGATGTAATGACGGTTTACCCTAAGGGAACGCAGGTTCGAATCCTGTCGTAGAGTGCGCATTTTCTCTAATAATCGAATATTCAGTCGATAAGCAAAAAATAAATACAATGTTTAATAAAAAATATGTTGAATTAAAATATATATATATATATATATATATAAATATATATATATATATGTGTGTGTGTGTGTGTGTGTGTGTGTGTGAGAGAGAGAGAGAGAATGAGAGAGAGATGCAAAACTAATCATGGCGTAGCAATACTTCTTTCCGTCTAAAAACTTTGAAAATCATAGAATTATTGCATTTCCCAATTTTTCCCTATATATATATATATATATATATATATATATATATATATATATATATATATATATATATATCATTAGTTTGATGTGACTTTGTGACCCCGAGCCGAGTTTCACGCTGTTTGCGAACGTCAGAAAATTAATTTACCCATATATGAATCCAAAATTTAAAAATTAATCAGTTTGTCTGACGATTGCAAATAGCGTGAAACCCAGGGTCACAAATCTAGAAGAATATACATATATTTATATTCATACACATATTATATATATATATATATATATATATATATATATATATATAATATATATATATATATATGATAGTTTTAACGTATGTTATATATGGGATGAACTGCTCAATATCAGGGACAGACCGTATGTAAATGTGTGTATATATATGAAATATAAAATAATTTTACTACCTGAGAATACCTGAGTGGTAGAAACAACATTAGCAGGAAGGATTATTTTAAAAATATTTAAAATTCAAATTTTAAATGTCTTAAATTGTTCTACATTTTCCTTTGTGTCGTACGCTTTTTTTGATTAATTTAAGCGATACTTTGGTAAATATTAGTTTTTGTCAGAAGTTGGATTTTTCAGTATATATACAGATATATATATATATATATATATATATATATATATATATATATATATATATATATATATATATATATATATATATATATATATATGTATATAAGACTAATCAAAAAGTATCGTTACTGCTACTATAAAAAAGAGGATAAGGGAAAAAGAATGAGAAGATACAGAAAAATGCAATATATAATTCATGCCAGAAAATACTAGATGTCTGAATCTAATTTAATATCCATCAGAAGTCTTTCGACTAAGAGCAACTGATCTGTGGTAACTCCAGTATGTACTGTTTTCACTTGAAGAGATAGAAAAAGTAAGCTCTGTATATGTCAAAACAGCAACGTGTCTCAGTGAGTTTACCTTGAAGGTCACTGCCATATCCTGTCAGCAATCCTACATTTAAAAAACAAAAACGAAAAAAAAAAAAACAAAAACAGAAGAAGCAGCTTAACCAGCGAGTCTTTTGTAAAACTGATTCGGGATATAAAAATGGCCTCAAAGTTGGAAAAGTGGCATTCTCCAGCCAAGATGATGAGGATGAATATTTAGTATCGGTTCCAACAACAGCACCCAGCTCTCTGACAAAAATAGACTTGACAATATATTTTTTTACTCAAATCTCCTTGTTTATTGTTTGACCAGGTGGAGCATACTCATAAAGAACAATGTCCTTGTAGTCAATGAAAACTCTCAAGAGTGTCTTCACATTGCTTCTGCTCATTCCTCCGTTCATCGCTCTCGGAGAGTTTGTGGTCTTTCCTCTGCGCAAGTATTGACAAGATTTGTCCAAATCTGATGCAGATTCTCTACTCAATGGTCACAGATGCGTTGCAGTGAGACGACCACATTCTACACACTTTCCTACCAAGCACTGCTATAAACAACAGACTTGAGCAAGAACGTTATAAATTAGTGTGCATATACGACTGAATCCAAGATCAATCTGTGCCAAGCTGCTTCATTCTGCGTATTTTAGCTCCGTTACCATATCAATGATACGTATTTTATATATATATATAGAGAGAGAGAGAGAGAGAGAGAGAGAGACAGACAGACAGACAGACAGACAGAGAGACAGAGAGAGAGAGAAGATAACAGCAAAATCGTTACCATATCAATACAAAATGTCCATTTCTAAAAAAAAAAAAACTCTATACTTGGTTTTTAGATATGACATTTATGGAAACAATGACCTTCAAAACAGGTTAATGGTGTCATCCCAATGCAATATTCATACTCTGGCAATATTCATACATCTTCAAAGTCCATTCAAGAACCATCAAGAGAACGGTGAATAAGTTTAAGACAGAGGGAACAGTAGATAAGGAAGCTGGTTCAGGAGGTCACAACAGAATGGATCATCATTTCAACTTAAAGCTAAAAAGGGATCAATTAGAAAAGATCCAACTCAATTCATGAGACGTTTGGCACATGAGAGATTTTCACCGTCCAAATGGCAGTGAAAAACAGCTTGAGAATGAAATCTTACATGAATCGTATGAGGCTCCTTTTTACTCTAGAACAGAAAGTTAGAAGGTGAGAAAAGATGAAAATGTTCTTGAATACGTTTAAAAATGACACTGAGCACACACACACACACACACACATATATATATATATATATATATATATATATATATATATATATATATTTCAGTCCTTCACTATTTCAGTCTTCCGATCCGATCCTTGGCTATAATTGATTAATGACGAACTTTGATTTGGTCGATTTCTCAAAATTCTTCTTTCTATTGCTCAAAGTACAGTCTTAATCTACCAATTGAACAATTCTGCTTTTACCCTATTTGGACAATTTCGCTGTAACCTCTATATCTATATATATATATATATATATATATATATATATATATATATATATATATTATAAAAAAAACAAAAATTACCTCAACATAGGTATAGTCTATTTCAAAGCCGTTTTTCACACGGCTATCGCCAGTCTGAGAGGCTTGAACGGCTTGAAATAGACTCTACCTATGTTGAGGTAATCCTTCGTTTTTTTTGCTTTAAAAATGCATAGGCTCTGTTAAAAATAAAAACATCGAACTCTCTGTGGATCAGTTTTAATAATTAATATTACTAGGATCCACCCGGATTATATACCAACGGATCGATTACCTGTAAAATATAAGTATGTATGTATTTCTAAAATATAATGGATGTATTCTTAATCTGACGTTTTGGATTACTTCAAATGTTATCATA